AGGATTGGGAACACCACAAATTCGTCCATGACAAGGTGCAACGCCGCACGTCTCGATGGTTAAAAGTTGTTATGTTAGAGTGGTTGTTTCATGAAATGAGCATGTTGACGCTGAGTGGGGTGAGAGAGGGAGAGGTCAGGAGAAGAAGAGAGAAGAAGAAGAAGAAGATCAATAAGAAAGAAGAATAATAAAGAAGAAGAAGAAGAAGAAGAAAAACAATTGAAAAGAAGAAGAAGTAGGCCAGAAGCTCGCAAACGATGGGACGCTTCTTCCTGATCCATCTTCTGTCAGCATTTTCCCCCACCTCCCATTCTCGCTGGAAAAAGGTTCCAAGAAAAGAAAGATCAGGTCTGGCATTCTTTCACTCTCGTACACCATCACACGCAGGTTGGCTGAAGCGAAGAGCCTCCTCGCTCCCTTTGTTCGCCAGAGTGGAAAATATCCTCCTTTCGGCCCTCTCCTCTTAATCTTGGATCCTTTCCTTTGGGAGCCTGGCTCCAGCAATGTCAAGCCTTCAGCCCAATGTCATACAAGGACTGATTCCGGACACTCATCCACCACTCGCGCATCAGCCAGATGTTTCGTCTCACTGTCGAAGGATAAGCGGTCGCAAAGCGCCGGAAGCAAAAAGGCGAGTCCAAGTTGCTGCGTGGGGCAAAGCTTCTGGCAGGCAGAGATCATGATGTGGCCTCAAAGGTGCCCCTGGTGTTGATTTGATCACCGTCGAAGTCTTCGTTGCTGGCTATTTTTGACCAAACCCTCAACAATTTCATACGCCTTCTGCGCGGATGGAATTACTTGGTTTGAGAATCTGGAACTGAAATCCACTCTGGGAGCCTTTTCGGGCGGGTTGAATTATACGAGGAGCCGTCGGCAGATTGCTTCCTCAAGTCTCCAACGTATTTTGCATGAAAGCCCATTCGACAGCCTTTGAGTTGTTTTCTCTTGTGGACAGTACATGCATGGAAATAACTTGAAAGATGCCGATCGATACTGGTCCAGATTAAACATGGCAATCAACATCAGTGAAATGCAGGGAGGACGGGGCGACATGACACTTCTCAACACTGCCGTTACGCGGATCAGTGTGGTGTTCTGTTCAAGACCTTCATGTCATAAACAAAGCTAGTAGTGCACATGAGCAGGTCCCGAAAGGAGAGTTATCCCAAAGAGATTTGCTTTTCCATCAAATTCCAAACATGCAGTGTGAAACACAACTTTGCATGTTGCACTTTGGATTCCCGCGCACAACTAGAGTGCACAGATGCCAGGGCCATCCTGGCTTCCCATGATTCCTCAAGTCAACTATTCCCATTTGAACTCTCATTGGAATCGACCCATGTGTTTGAACACTATTCCCATCCCATGATTCCCACGATCCCCATCATTCCCATGATTCCCATTTAGATTTCCAGCGTCTAATTATGCCCCAAACGCGGGGCCCGTTCTCGTTCTTTCGGGAAGGGCCGGTCACTTCTCGCAGGAGCGTGTCCGAGGGCTGCGTGGCAATGGCCAAGGGCCAGGCGATGGGCGGAGGGTCCTGGATTCCATGTGAAGCTGAGTTGGTGCCCCCCCCCCCATTTCTTTTTTTTTTGGGGGGGAAAGCCAAAAGATGATCCACCCATTTTGGGGACCCCCGAAAGAAAGAGGTCTTTCTTGGGGAGGTACCCCTTGTTTTTTTGCTTTGAAGGTAAACCAAGAAGATACCCCACCCATGTTGGGGATCAGGGAAGGAAAGACGCACCCAAAAAAACGTGGCATTTGTGGGAGGATGACTGGAAGATAAATTTCCTCTTTAAGGGAGCCCTCTGTCAGGTGGCATAATAGTGGAGGGAGGTAAATAGGAAGTTGTGAACAGCATTCAGACTTTCACGGCTGGGGCCAGAAAAAGCGTTTGGCCAACAGCTGGACCTGTTGCTTGGTTTCTCGCATTTCGCTTGAGCCCCGCTGCTTTGTGTTCCGATCAATCCAAAGCACAGGAGTTTTGCAGTCCACAAAAACGGCCTCAGGCGCTTCTGGACGCCGTGGTCTGCGGCCACAAAAGCTACAACGGCATCCGCGATGAGTTGCTCGCCTAAGACTTGCTGAGCGCTTGAACGGGTTCCTGCGGATCCCGATGGAATGGTCGGGCCTCAAAGTATGGCGCCTTTTTGACACCCCTTTGATGCAATGCAGGGTGTGGACGAGCAAACCCCAGGAGGCTTAGGGAGGTGGATTCGGATCAAAGTTGGATGGCAGGTGAGGATGTGTGTTTGTACGGCTTTTGCACATAGAGATGGCGCCCTTTTTGGTCCGGATCGAAAAGGCAAGGCTCGGATTTGGGGATCTTTGTACTTTGGGTCGCACATTGCGATTGGAACCTTTTGCTTTTTGCCCTCAAGGAACACCACGTGGGCAGCAGGTAGATTTCCTTTTGGGGCAAACGAGCATGTGGGAGGTTTTGCGCATCAGCATGGGTGCTGCAAAATGCAACTGTCGGATCGTCCACCCAACCATCAACAGTAGTCCTTTCTGAAGAACTATTCCATGCCGGCTTATCATCACAGCTTGAGGAAGGGTGCTGGTGCCCCACAAGTTTCAACTACACCCAACGTTGCAGTTGTTGCAAGACTTTTGTGACCCGAGGTTGTACGATATCTACGAGGAGG